CAGTTGTTGGGCGCTAATAAAGTTAATGTGCCCGCTAAATTGCTGGCCCTGACTTGTGGCTGGCCCTCGGATGACCCGCTCGAAGTGCGCTAATTGCCTTTTAAGCTGTTGTTGACTTAATTCTCAGGCGGCTTTGCCTTTGGCATAGTTTACCCTGGTCTGATATGGGCTGAGATTGTGTTCCAAAGATGTTGCCAGTGTGTGGCACGAAATACACAAGGGAATTGTCCGTTGAGAGCTCAACAGCTGCTTATCAATCAATAAGGCTTGATGGGTTTTGGATAGGCTAATGATAGTGCCAAGGTTGCTCTGCAACCGGTGCGAACCCTTAAATCCACTTTCAATTCAAAAAGTTTTTTAGAAAAACTAGTTGAGTGTGTCCGACTACCAGATACCCCGAACTAAGCGTCAAGCTGCCGTTTTCAACATTCTAATACCCTAAATCTTAAGCTGGCCGGCTTGAGGTGAATGTTGGCCTAGACTGCACAGGTACTCTGTTTGAAGAGCCTCTCGGCTATCAATAGCTGACTTTGCGAGGCCTTGTCCTCAGTCTGCAGCTATAACATCTTGAGAATTATAAGCAACGAATGTGCGACAAAGCTTGCAAAGCCAAATCCTAGTCTTGAGTGCTTACTCCTGCGACATACACTGTGTTTGCGAAAGAGCATATAGGCTCTAACATATACATACATATATATACAGATAATCAGCTGTGCGTCTGCTTCATATGGCCTCTCTGTATGTAAGGGAAACGTGACCCTTAATAACTTGGCTATATATAGTTCGATTTTCAAAAGAGTTTCAGGGCTTACATGAGACTTACAGAAGTGCGTATATACCAAAGCGCAAGTTTCTAACTTTAAGAATGCCCTTTTCTCACATTTTTGGAGGAATAGAGAAAAACTAGTCAAAAAGTGAAAAGTTTTGAATATCCTTGTTTGATATATCTAGCCCTTCTAGTTTTAAAGTTATGCTTCAAATATCTATATCTCTATCTATATATATAAGAACTTCATATAAATATTATATTATATTAGAAATATAAGTATTTCGTTTGATATATGCAGACCTTATGCCTGGGCTCGAGCTTTTAGGTTAGCATTAAACGAAAATATGATTTCATGGCGTTAAACCCTTGAGTTTCTGGCTGTGGAAACCCAGCTGAAGAACCCATTATTTAAAAAGCACTGGTTCAAACCCTGTGTGCCCAGCCATAGACATTTAATTTCTTACCGGGCTGAGCTGGAATTGCCGTGTAAGCTTAAGCTGTTAGCTTGCTCTCAATCCACAGTAAAGCCTGCCTAAGGGCGCAATCATAAGGCGGAACTGCCAAATATTTGACTAAGACTTGCACTGAAAGCAATTCGCGAAAAGCAAATGTTGAAAAGTGCGCTGCCAACTGTTGGCTAAGAGCGACGGCAAACTGATTAAATATCCGGCCCACATGCGCGCATGTTAGGCTCGAGGAGTCAGCATAAATGCGAATACTTGTAGAGGGAAAATGTAATTTGAACAACAAAGCAAACAGCAGCAGAGCAGCAGAGCTTAAGCGCTTTCAGGATAAAGGGACGAACAGGACGTCGAGCAGGCGGCAGGTGGCAGGTGGCAGGTGAAACAAAAGCCGCGCCGCGCTCTGCCTCAACAGGATGCATACGGCATCTCGGGGACAATGCCAGGCAATGCACTAGAATTGCATTTGCTTTGCGGTCGGGTTGACAACTTACCTCGTAGCGCGTGTCGATTTCAGGTAACTTCTCCAGAAACTCCTCAACCATGTTGGCCAGCACGTGCGCGCAGCACAACACACACACACACAGGCACACACACACACACAAGTCAATCAATGCAACTAATTAAAGCTGAAACACCTGTTGTTGTTATTGTTGCGCTTCTTTTTGCTTTTGAAAGAATGCATTTGTTTGATTTGGTATTTGATTTGCACAGTTTGTTATTGTTGTCCGACTTTTGATTGTCTTGTAATAATGTTTTTTTATTTGCTTGGTCACTTGCCACATGCCACTTGCCACTTGCCACTTGATTTTGGGCGCTATTTTTAGCACATGTACACACAGCTACGTCGAAAGCAACAGCAACAGCAGCAGCCAAAGAAACGGCCGTGTGTGCGACAGATTGTTGGCAACAAACGCTGCACGTTCACCGTTCAGCACTAACAACAAACTGCAGAAAAACAAAACATTTTATAGGCGGCCGAGGCAGCTCGCAGCACGAAGAGCACACACAGACGAGCAGCAGCAGCAGCAGCAGCAGACCAGCAGAGCCGAGACCAAGTGCTAAAAAAAAGAATATATATATATATATGGCGAATAAGAGAAATGGCCAGCCCAAAAGCCAGAAGTTCGAGCGCAGCAGCGGAAACTGTAGCATACTTATGAGCGCCGGCGCGCTGCTGCAGGGGCAACGACTCCTGCGCTGCGAGAGTGTGCGTGCGTGTGCTGGCGTGCGCGCGCGTGTGTGTGTGTGGAATTTCGTACTCCGCAACTTGACACACATTTAAAGTTTCGGGCGAGCTTTTAGAGCAAACAGCATCCAAAACAGAGCAAATTTTTAGCACAACTCAAGCAACAACATGTGGAACGCAACTGTTGAAGCTGAAGCTGCAGCTGCAACTGAAGTTGTGCGCCTATGTGTGTGTGTGTGTGTTTGGGGCATGCAGCATGTTGTTTGCATCCACTTGTAAATAATTTGCAGCTAACGAAGGCGGCGCCCACACTTAAAGCAGGCAGCAGGCCTGTTCTCACAGTTCTTGTTCCTGTTTGCCTTGTTGTTGTTCCTGTTTTTCTTGTTGTTTCTCTTTTTTTTGTTGTTGTTTTAGTTTGCCTTAGTCAGTTAAGCGGCAAACACTGAGCGCCACTCGTGCCACATTGTTTTAGCCGGGCCGACCAAAAATAACAGTTATATAGCATGAAATCTTAGCTAAACAAGGCTCTATCAAAATGCAATGTGAGTAAAATTTTAAGTAGAGATGCTTTGAGAGCAAATGGTTCGCCCGTGTGGTTCGCGGGCATTATAGAATACGACCACAGCATGTCATCGCTTGTCGTACGAGGCGACTAAAAGAGACACTTTTCGAATGTCCTGCTGGGCCAGCTGCGCCTTGAGCAGTTCCTTGCTCGATTATCTTGCGCACTTTTTCTCCTCTGATAGCTAAAGGCAATCAAAGTGGAGCCTTGAGTAAAGCAACAACTAGATATTATTCTGAAGTCGGCTAACTCTTAAGAGACGAGCAGACAAATAAAGAACGCAGCCGCAGGGACAATTTCCAAAAGAAGCTTGGCTTCGCTTCGCTTCGGCTTGAATCAAAGCCCACAAGGTATCCGCATTTTTTATATTTTCTAGCCAAGAGCTTTTTGTGCTTTCCTTGGAAACACTCTTACTTAAAAGCGTGCCTTTATCGTGCTTTTGAGGCACGAGCATTCGTGTCTGTTTCGTGATTCTTGGCAAAAGAACCGAAGCACGAACCTAGCTCAGCTCTAAATGATGTCAATATAACTATTTTCGCCTCATCTTTTGAAGAACGCAATAAAAATTGATTCATTACTTGTTTCCATCAAAACTTTTCTGAATACTTCACTTTTTTCAGCTTATAAATGAAAGTTTATTAATGAGAATAGTTTTTCTAGAAACAAGTTCTAGACAAAAGTTTACTGCATTCTACAATATAAATAGTCCAACATCGATATCAACTAGGGATAAGTCAGGTTTTCCTTTTTCAAGGATACCTATGCTCAGGCCTCAAAAGGGCTAAGCAATAAATACAATAAAAATACAACTATTTAAGTTAAATCTCTAAATTAAGTGTTATATCAGAAACATCTCAGCTGGCAGCAAACTTACCAATACCATTGTGAAGAAAGCCTGCCGGGTTTTTAGTCTCAGGCAAAGGAAATTCCAAAAAGTGTCCTGTTCTTATGTCCGTACGCGCTGACCACTAAGCGCACACTAAACGTGTTGAATGCAACAATTTGTGGCAAAAAGACACGCAACCACACTTCATTAGCACGCTGAAAAGGCCAAAGGACGACGCACGCTCCCATGGCGGGGGCGTGTCAAAGTCAAAGGCTACCGACGGCAAAAACAAACCTTTAGCGCATGCACCTAAAATCGAATGCAAGGCATGTGTCTGTGTGTGTATGTGTGTGTGTGCGCGCGTGTGTGTGTTGTTTGTTCAACGTGGCGTATGAAATGATTAGTTGAAATTTTTGCATGTCCTTGTGAGCAGCTGTTAAAAAGTGCGGCGTTCAGGCTTTTAGTGAATAATTTATGTGCTTCGCCTATTTGACAGCATTTTGTGACGGCTGCATTTGCATTTTCATCAATTCAATTTACCCCAATTTTTCACATTTTCATTGTTTAAATATGCCGCGCACTGAAAACATTCAAAAGCTGCGTGTTCTGCAATGTACACTTTTAGTACACTATCTGATACACTGCTTGACAAGCGGTGTGCGAAGCAGTGCTTTTTATTTGAAATTCAACTTCGAATGCAAACTTTTAAGGACTGTGTAGGACTGTGTGCTATATGATGAACATGCTTGTTTCGCGGCATGCAAAGCAGTGCAGTGATTTTTGAAAGTCAACTTTTAATACAAACTTTCAAGTGCACATGTGCTGTCTACCAAACAGTTTAATTTTAATTAAAGTCAACATCTATGCTTATTTTTGTTAATCAGTCTGATGAACTTTTAAAATATCAAACCTCTAGGTAAACGCCTTTCTAACGTCACATTTATTTTCGGTTTTCAAATGTTGCGCGCAATGCAAGCATTCATAAGCTGAGTGTTTTGCCGTAGGCATCACGCTTAAGGATTGTAGTATTTAGTACACTCTTGTAGTATTTAGTACACAATGCTGTTATGCCTGCCAAGCAGTGAACATTTGAATAAACTGACAAATTATTTGGCGCCATAGTAAGCAGTGCACTTTCAATTCAAACTCAAATTCAAATATTTATGTCCGTTTTATTTCATCTTTGACATTGTACAATTTGTAAGTTTTTGTTTTCTTTCATATATGTATGTGTATGTATATATAATTTCTGACAAACTTGAACATTTAGTTAATTTCATTACACATTTATAAATTTCATTTGTTACAAATTTTCTCTTTCGTTCGTTCAATTCATTCTCCCTTTTGATATTTGTGTTAACGTTCCTGGCTTAAATGTTCCCTTTATTTTGTAACTCACTTTTTGCATTTGTTGTTATTCAATTATACCTATTACACTTTGAATAAAATTAGATAGTTATTTGTTATAGACGAATACAAAAAATACATTATTGGTAAATTGACGCCGACATTCGACATTCGATTTACTAAGTACGCTCAACAGATTTCCATATGACATTCCATTAATATACATAATAAATTAAACAATTTATTACATTTTATCAGACTAAACATTTTGTTTTACGCTATGTCATGTTTTGCTAGAGTTTTACATTTCTTTATATATATATTCAAATATATATATATATATATATATATTAAATATTCAGATTAAAACACTTTTAGCTTAAGATCTTGGTATTATTACATGCTATTGTTGTTGTTGTTGTTGCTTAGTTTTAAGAGTTGTGCTTAAATATGCGCATATACGAATGTGTGTTTGTAGCAGTATGTGTGTGTGTGTGTATTTATCACCCGGAGAGGCTTTTGAATGTTTGTCTTATCGTTAGCTTTATCGTAATGCTTCAGTTATGCTATCATATATGATATACGAATGATTGTAGGCAGGTGGTTGGTGGTTCACTTGACTTCAACTTGAACTCTTCTCCTCACTTCATCTTCTTCCCTTCTCCTCTGACAAATGCTAACTAAGTTTATTAATTCATAATCTAATTGCTAGAGCCTAGGTTAACAACTTAATTTAAAAGAGAAACCCTGAACTTAAGGAAAAAAAAAAAAAAAAACAGCCAAAACAAACTCTCATTTCAATTCATGCTTGAAGCTAGCTCAAGCCCGTCTCTTGGGCCGACTCCTCGTTTCTTTGGGTGCCATTTTGTGCCACATGCAGCTGCCACAGGCGCCTTATCTGCTCGGGCGAGATGCTGTGGCCCGTAAACAGAAACTCCAGCTGGTTGGGATCGCTTCGCCCGCTGAGCAGACGCTCACACGCCGATTCGTAAAGGACATACGGTTTCAGCGTGGTGATCGTTGTGTTCGTCTGCTGGGCCAGTACGCCGGTTATGTGTACATCGTCCACCCAAAAGTAGCCGGCATGCTGGGCGGCCTGATAGAGGCGCTGCACCACGTCCGGCGAGTAGACAATCGCAAAGCCCGGACAATACGGCGGATAATAGTCGCCGGCGAACTCTTTAAAGCTGACGCGCCACTTGGACTGCAAATGGCAAAGGAATAGGAATTAGTTTGGATTGGAATCTCTTAGATATGGCTACTTACGCGATAGGAGCGCTTCACTCGGGACCTCAGCTCGGGCCGGCAGAAGAGCAGATCGTGCGGCTGCTGGAGCAGTCCACGCAGCGAGCTGGAATTGGTGCGATTCGTGTTGGACAGCAGCTGGATGAGAAGCGGCGTATTCACATAGACATCGTCGTCCACCTTAATCAACAGTTGGGCGTGCGAGCAGCTGCTGTTGAACCACTTAAAGGCCATCACATGCTTGTAGGTCATGTTGCGGTACGCATCCTGAAAGTTGCCCTGCACCATGTCCGCGTGTCGCACATTCTCCTGCTCCAGGGCCAGCTGCAGCTGTTGATCCGCCTGCGACACGGCGCCCAGCAGAAAGACAACACGCAGCGGCATTGGGGCAGACGTCATGCTCGATCCGCCCCACGTTTCGCGTATCAGCGAGCGTTTTTCGGCATTCCACGGCGCTGTGTGCACCAGGATAAGCGCCTGGATGTGCGACTCACAGGCAGGCTGTGCCATCAGATATGCAAAGTGATGCAGATCGATCAGCTGGCTGGCATCCGAGGGTAACTGCGTGGCTGAAGCTGGCGGAGACGACGGCGACGACGCTGAGAGCGGAGCTGACGGCGATCGACTGGCCGCAGTGGGCATGGGGGCGGGCGTGGCCGCGTTGTCTAGACTAACTAGGCTAGGGCTATAATAATAATAACTACTAAGGTTGCTAATAAGTTGCTGAGTGCGACTAGGGTCGTGTATTTGGTTTGGTTTACTGCCATTGGCACTCGGTTGCGTTTGCTGCTGCATTTGTGTGGCTGGTATCACAGAGCTGACGGCGTATGCCTCCTCCGTGTCCGGCTGGTGCACGGCGATCAGCCAAATGCCGAATGCCAGAAAGAAGCAGATGAACAGAAAGCGTTTCACCATCATTCTAATGCTGTTCCAGCCGCTGTTGCTGCTGTTGTTGTTGTTGTTGTTGTGGTTTCTGAAGCGATTAACTGCATCCATTGGGCTGCGCATCGTTTTGTACTTTGCCATCTTTCTGTGCGCACCTCAAACGGAAGCGTTTTCTGCGTGGCTTTGCCATTTAATTGACAATCGATGTGG